TGACAAAACGTGAGAAGCTTTGATCAAATGTAAAGTTTATATGATCAATTTAAGTGGCTTGGGTGATATCATATTTCGTCATTTTTTAAACGAATGGCGCAGTAAAATTAATTAGACTTGTCACGTAACTGTACATTATCCAATCACATAGCGATTTTAATGCAGGGGGATACGAATAACAAAGTAAGGGGTACGAATAACAGCTGCCTATAATTATTATTAAAGAAAAACAAATGTTAGAAATTAATCAAATGTGTAATGTTTTATTGATTTGCTTAATTAATGCAATATCAATAGTGTAAAATTTTCAATTGTAATTATATAAAATTAATTTAATAAGAAAATGATTTTGATTTAACGTATGTTATATATGTTATTAAGTGTGGGACATATTGCATATTGATCATGACGATTAGTTGATCAATATAATTTTATATGCATTTTTGCCATTTTTTTGACTTTGTATATAATATAACTATGCAAAATTACTAATATTTTTAAATTTCTGTCTCATACAAATCATTCATTCACTTCTCAAAAACATTTTGTAAGTTTTAAAAGTTAAATAGTTTAATACTTTAAGAAGATTTCTTTAAACATATTGTTTATGCTTTTTTAATATGTAAAAGTATTATAAACAATTTTAATATGAAAAATATATTGAACTGGCTTAAGGTTTGTAATTTTATTATGAATATTTTTTTGTTTTTAAAGAGCTTTTCTTTTATTATTTAAAAAGTATAATACTAAATAAAAATTTTTATTATAGAATAAAATATTAATTAAATATAATAATATATTTAAATTTGTTATTAATGGATAAAACTATTAATATATCAAATTTTTTTGTATAATAATTTATAGTTTTCAAATTAAAATTATCTATTTTGATTTCCTAATAATTGTTTTCTTTCTCTCTATATAATCTATAATTCAAAGTAGGAAGAACTTTATTTTATTCTCTCCTATAATATATTAATTTTAAATTAATAATAAATATATTTGCCACTACTTTTTCTTATTATTTAATAATTATTCTTAAACTTCTACATATTTTTTAGTGTTTTTTATTAATATAGTCTATTTTAATAAGGTTGTTATTTCCGCCAAGTTATATTTAAATTCAAAGAATTTATTAAGAGCTTGTTACCATAAAATGTTATAATTTAAAATTTTTTTATTTAAAAATTGATTTTTTGTATATTACATAAAATCCAACTTAAAAATACACTCTATAACCTAAGAGAATCTTTCTTTCATAAAATTACATATATTTTTGTTGTTAAAGTTATTTATTTGTATCTACTTGTAAGAAGATCTTAAAAAACTTATTTTTAAAACAAAATTTCGCATAAATGTAAAAAAAAAAGTAATCGTCTAAAAGGAAAATCAATGATTGAGCACATAATGATTGATTCTATCAATTTCTTAATTAATATGAGCGGTAAGTGTAACAGTAAAGTAATTATAGTTACACGAAATGCGCGCGACATGTCCAGCGCTTTGATTTGCTTAGTGATTAAAATCAAATTGACAAAGATCTACTGTTTTTAATTACACAAAAAAAATTCGATAATCTTAGAATATTACTTGTATAGCTTTTTATTTCCTTTTTAAATAAAAAAAGAAAATAAAATTAAAAACCGGTACTTTAAATTTAATGTTACCATCGTTACCCCACAAAATGTGCGTATTAACGTTGCCCTGTGACCTTACTCTGGTCAACATCAAAGTGATTATTATTGAATCAATAAAAAGATTAATTAATTCTTGCGTTATTAATAAGCTGCATAATTTCGTCCATTGATTAAATAAAGAAACTTTTTCTTTCAAAACTCCGACGACCAGTCTTTGACGATTGATCATTACCGGAAACATTTTGCGTCACGTTAGACATGGTAAATAAAAACTTTCTTATAAATCGATTTACTGTTTATACATAGGAACAAGCTCCAAATTTTCGCAAATCAATCAAAATCATAAATATTAAAATAAACAAAATGTCGAACTTTATAATGAGAATAATTATTTATTTTCTTGGAATCATGATAGAATATGCAGCTAAAAAATGTTTGAATAATTTTAAATACTTGGAGTTTAGGGATATCCAGGAAATAAGGGATGGAGCTTCCGGAATAATCTATCGAGCTATACATAATGATAACATCTTCGCTTTAAAGTCTTTTAAAATTGATAAAGTAACTCCGAAAGAAGTTGTAAATGAGGTATAATTGTTAGACTTGTTTTATTTTGGAAATATAAATTGCTTTGTTAAATTTGATTCATAATATAGATAAAATTACAAACGGTAGTCCAATTCCATGAAAATATCATAAAACTTTGCGGTATTACAAGGACAGACGGTATGGGTCAAAATGTACTTAAAACTTTGTATTATTTGATTTGATTTTTACATTAAATCTGTCTAATTTTATTTTTATTATTTTTTTTTATTTTTCAGATTTCATTTATCAATTAAAATATTTATTGGTTTTGGAATATGCTGATGATGGTACGTTAAATACTTATCTAAGCAATCATTTTAATGAACTTAATTGGAATGATAAGTTGCGCTTGGCATTGCAACTATGTAGTGCCGTTACACATTTACACGAATTTGGTATCGTTCATCTCGATTTGGTAATTCAGTAATTTAATCTAATTATGTATTATTCTTTAATTAATATTACTTGTATTAACAAATAATTATATTTATTTAAATACATGTATAGCATGCGAACAATATACTGATACATCAGAAAAATATAAAATTGGCAGACTTTGGTTTGTCAAGGAAAATCACTGACGTCATAAGTGATACAAATAAAGTGTATGGTGTAATTCCTTATATGGATCCGCAAAAGCTCAACAGTTCAGTTTACATATCGGATAAAAAATCTGATGTATACAGTATAGGAGTTTTACTGTGGCAAATTTCAAGTGGATATCAACCATTTGTTGAAGGTAACATTGAAGATGAATTGTTTATAGTAGTGGATATAATACGCGGAAAAAGAGAAAAACGTATTCGTGGAACTCCTATCAAATATATTGAGTTGTATGAAGGTAAGTAATGTCAATAGCATAGTATTTATTAATGAATTTAGATACTTTAAACTAATGATAATTTTATTACTAAATTTGATAAATTAGAATGTTGGAAATATAATCCAAATAAACGTCCAGATATGCGAGAGGTTGTTTCAAGACTTGAATCAATATTTTTTTATAAGATACGTAAAACAAATGCCAATAAGGAAAGGAATTACCCACAAGAAGGGCTTAAACCATCTTTAAAAGTTTCTAATAAATGTAATAATATTAACAGAATAAATTTACTAGAAATATTAATATCAATTATAATTGAAATTAAAATGAAGACTTTAGTTGCATTAAATAAGGCAATTGAGTTATCAACAGCAAATATTAATAAGCTATTTTTGATTTTTATCTATCAACTCATAGAACTAATAGAACATATTTGGTTATACAAATTATTTCGTAGTAACTAGAATTTTTAATTTTTGAGGATTTGGTTCTCCAAGCAAATTTACTATTGACAAATTTAAACTTTGAAATAAGAAAATTTCTAGGGATGACAAAATAATTAATTACAATAATTCTAAATTATTATTATCATATGATATAACGTCATATCGATCATTTCGGCTTTTTTGAAGGCTAACGTCGAAATAAATTCGACCTTTTCTTTATGATAATAGTAGTCATTAGGTCTATTTGAGGGAAAAGACGATGATATTAAAACTGGTTTGTAAGATAACTACGGGGGATAGCAAGTACTTGTAGATATATTTATTTTGATTTAATGTATTTATTTATAATTTAATAAAGTTGCTGGCAGTGCCACATTGTTAAAAATAAATAAATAAATAAATTCGACCATTTTGACCATTGTGACCATTTTAATTTCGAGTTCATGTATAATCTGGAGATTAAAAAATATTTCATTTTTTTTAGAGAACGAAGTGAGATTTTTTAACGAAAGGTTTTTAATTTCTTAGTATTTATTTCATTATAAGGATAGGGTGCGCAGTCTCCAAACCGTATATGGTAATGTATTTCTTTACGTTTTGAAATTGAAATTTTTTTCACGTCTTTACGTAAAAAAAAAAAAAAAAAAAAAAAAAAAAATCTTGTATTACGTAATAATATATGTTGTCCTTAATTTAGTCAAAATTCTTAACAATCCTTTAAAGTTTACAATTCTCTTTGCAATTTATTTCAGATAAATTGAACATACGCGACTCTAGACACCTTAATAAAGAATGGTGTAAAAACCGCAGGGACAGCTACTTCCGCAAGAATATCCATAAAGTGGACAAGCGAAAACGAGCAATTGGAGACACTATTCAAAATTCTTAGCTCATAGAAGATATTCCATTTCAATTAATCGATTGGATTCACCGGTTCGCAAATATCCAGAAAGTGGACAAATACTTTTCCATGGATTATGAAAAGGAAAGTTGCGGCGAACATATGCATGCAGCATTGAAGGAGATGCGTCGATACATCATGCAAACCATTATTGCGGATATGGTGAACAAGGTGGAAATGTACAGCCATGTTTTGAAACAAATTTACTTTGAATGTAAGGATAGGAATGTTAAAGAATAAATTGTAGGGATTTGAAAAATCGAAGCTACATAAAAAAATCGATTCTTGTGAATCGATTTCAAAGTTTTTTTTACACAGTATAAGCCGAAAAAAATTCAAAGATCTGAAATGATTTGAAGACACTAAAAAAAACCATCTTGAAAGATTCAATTTTTAATTTCAATCCCGAATTCGATAATTGCTCATTCATAAATTTTACATGATATGCATGGCCTAAATGCGCATTTGGGGCGAGCGCATATCCCAAACGATTTTTGCATTTGGGGAAAGCGCATATTCCAAACGATCTTCGCATTTGGGGAAAACGCATATCCAAAACGATCTTCGCATTTTGGGGAAAGTGCATATCCAAACGATCTTCGCATTTGGGGAAAGCGCATATCCCAACCGATCTGGGGAAAGCGCATATCCCCAAACGATCTTCGCAATTGAGATATCCCAAATCGGAATGCGAAATAGATTTTCGTCGGGTGTCTGAAATCGAGATTCCAAATTTCAATTAACTGAAATTGGAATACAACTTATAAAAAATCTACTTTAACCAATCACGAAACGCCAATTTTTTAAACTGTCAATTAAACTTTAATTGAAATTTTTATTAAAATAACTTACATTTTTTTTTTTATTTTAATAGAAATTATTTTTTAAAACTCGTAAAAATATTTTCTAAAAAGTATTACTGCGCTACTTATATTTTATTAAATCATTTTCTCCAATTTCTATCAATAAATAAATTTTAATTTATTTAATTTGAATATATTAATCTGTATACATCTTATTTGTTTTGTTCAAAAATAATTTAGTACCTAAAATTTATAGCATTTATTTATTAAATTTAATTTAATTTATTTAGGCGTATATTATTAAATTCTTTGGCGGAATGGACTGAGTCTAGTGTTGAAACCAGGCTAACCCAGTACTGAGCTAGGTCCAGACCGGCAAATTATAAGTTTAAAAATTTCGGGTCAGGTTCAGTTCAAAGTACAAGCTTAAATTTTTATAATTTTAGTAAAAATTATAATTCAATTAAAATTCAGACAGCCTTGTATCTGAAATTCAGATTCTTTCTGAATCTTTAATTTCATATCTGAAATCCGAAATTAAATGATTACACGGAAATTGACCAATAAGATCATGACTGAAATTGGAATTCAGATAACAAAAAAGGTTGTCTGAAATTGTTGAAATTGGAATCTCGATTTCAGACACAGACGAAAATCATTTAAGGAATATCCCAAATGCGAAGATCGTTTGGGATATGCGCTTGTCCCAAATGCACATTTCGAACATCAACGCATTTGGGCTACAACACCTCCAAAGATCAAAGTTACCTTTAAATCAACTGAAATTTATGCTTTGGAATGATAATGTGGAGATTTCAGCTGATGAACAACTATTTTGTGACAGCAATGACGATTCTCTAATGATAAGACTATCTGATAATTGGCGCCTATTGTTAAAGGCACACCAGAACCTTGGACAATAATAATGCAAAGATGTTTGGCTTAAAGGTCCCAGTTGCTTCCAGTGCGATAGAATCAGCGGATGTTCTCACGATAGTCAAAAAAAACTTATATATGAATTTCAACAGGCTAGAGGTTGGATCCGGTTAATTTTTAACCGGTTAAAACGGTTAACATACATGTTAACCGGTTAAAGATTTTTTTTAACCAGTTAAAATAGATGAATTTAAATCCGGCCGAAATTCAATTTCCGGCCAGAATTAAGATTTTTATGATTGCAAATTATTGTCTAACTCTGGCCAAATTTATAGTACTGGCCAAAGTTAATTTTAACCGGTTAATTATCCGGCTAACTAATATTTTAACCGGTTATTAACCGGTTAAAGGATTTTCGGCCGGTTCCAACCTCTACAACAGGCAGACGAATACTGGAAAGCAATATTTAAGTCTAATGAGCTACATACGATTCTGCCGTTCACATAAACCAGTATCTACAGATTCTGCGATTTACACGGAACAGTATATAAACATGACTGTGTGATCAAATCCTCAAGGATTAAGATCCTACTTGTGCTTTTGTGGACATTTTGAAGATGTATGTTTGTGAGCATTGTGATCATAGGACATTATTGGGACATAATTAATCTGGGCAATAGGATATAGAAATGTCCATCGCTAGTTGTGAGCTTAAAATTTAAATGGATTAACTTGGATTTTTGAAAAGTTTGTGTCCTCAACTCATTTATTATTTTTTACTAATTTTCTTTTTCGTTCATTACTTTTAATACTAATATTATAGTAATCTATATTTTAATTTTGAATGAATTTTTCTAATTCTAGAAAACAATTGATCACATAGATTTTATTGAATAAGTGTTTGGGAATGGTATCTACTTAATCAACGTGAAACAAAAATTTAAGAATTATTGGAAATTGAGTCTCTGACTCGAAACTACACATTATTAACGCGTCAAATATTTAACGAACAATATACCCTCCAATTATTAAGAATTTAGGAACTTTAATTTATTTTTCTTATTTTTATCTTTTTGGAAAAATCAATGTTTAAAACTCACGCTTAACGCCCTTGGTGAGAAGGTTTTTTTTTTTTTTTTTTTTGCAAATATGGGCGTTCCAACCTCTACTTTAGATCATTTTAGCTAAGAATTCTCTGTAAAGTTTATGTGACACAAAGGATCCGTGATACTATAAATTAAGCTTTTTTGTGGTTTTTTCGTAAACAAGTATAGATGATTTTTTCATTACTGCATACGGTTTAATGTAAAAAGCGCTTTAATCCTTTACGGACGTTTGTTTGTAATTATATGTCAATAATGATGCTAATGAATCTTCACCCGCCCACTTTCTGGCAATTATTTTGCGAAATTTTGAAATTCTATAAGGAATATGGAAATAAACGAACAAAATTAGAAAGTTGAGTGATATATGATACTTCTTTAATAATACAAAGAATAAAGCAAATATAATTTTATTAATTGGAATTAAAAATATGCAAAATATTTAGCAAATTGTTGTTATACGTTAATAATTAATAATTTAAGAAATTCAAGGATAGCTAACTATAATAAAATTCGTAATCATCTGAATCAAATGATTTTGCGTCTTCAATTATGACCCATAGTTAAAAAAATCGCTTGTTGAAGATCATATAAGTCAATTGCAACTCCCGGGGCTTGAAGAGGGTAAGGAAATCGAGGGGAACTGAAAGGTCGCGAAGAGATAAATGTGTGAAATGAAGGAAGAGAAGGAGGTTGAAGACAACCAGTAAAAATACATTTACAATTAATTGTAAGCCATTTCATGTGAGGTCCAGTGCAAAAATAACTCTCCTTGCCATTGGCATTCGTGGATCCAAACTCAATCTGGAAGTGACAAGTAATGTTGAGACAAATAAGCAAAAAGAACAACTTGTCAAACATACTAATCCTACCTCTTCAATTGCTTCGAATGTTGTAGCGTTTGGATTTTGCTGAAGAGTTGCAGTCCGACAGAATTTTAGACACTGCCAAGAATATAAAGAACAGATTAAACAAATGAAAAACAAAGAAAGGTATAAAAATTATCATTAAACTAACCCGCAATCGACGCAAAGGGCGTTGGGTCGTTTTATTACGACGTCTTCCTTCCCAATTACCTATTTTGATAACAATCACATCTTCACAGCGATCATGGGCTAGCCAATTGTCATTGATCTTATCTCTTACATGTTGGAGAGTTTCTGAGGAAGCAACCTCAAGGATGATAGTTGGCCATGGGCTTCCCTAAAAATTACAAATTCACAATGAAACCCATATTTTTCATATCTAAACAAATTGATAATACAGACATTTCGATCACAAGGATTTAATACTGCGTTAGATGCTTCCAGCAGACGTATAGGTATAAAACATGCGTCTGGCTCTTCATATTCATTTGTTGAGAGATTAGTATATAAACCTAGATGAAATAGAATTAGTTTTAACACAAAGCTGAATATGTGCCAAACTAAATATTTGATGAACCTACTTATCGATCCCCAATTGAAAATACTATTTTGATTTGTTGCATTACGGATTGCGTACATAAACATATAGCTAAATTCACGGCCTGCAACTTCGTGCACTCCAGTTGGTAATTCAATGATGGTTACAGTACCATCACGATAGTCCAAGAACCTTCTGGCCTTAATCTTCTCAGCTCTTTTTGCAAACTGATTAAATTTTACACCTCTCGCCAATACTAGAGGTAATCTAACGAGATAAATAATTTTTTAGTAAATAAATAAATAAAATGTGACTACTATAATAATTTTACCTTTCCTCATCAATACCCAGAGAACCTAAAGAACCTTTTCCTAACCACCATTTCTTTTCCTTTTCATCTGCTTCATTAACAACAATGTCCATATTTGGTTCTGTGTTCTTGGCTCTAGTATTACGAAAAAGTTTCAAAATCTCTGACAATATTTAGTTTTGGACGGGATGTCAAAATTCAAAAAGATTCCTGATTCGTGGAATAAGGAGTAAAATTGTATGTCACGTGAATGGAGTATGATGATCACGTTACGACTTGAAAAGTATATTTATTTCAGGTTCCTCGGCGATAAAGAGAATTGGATAGGAACTTGCTAAAACTCGGTATCAAGGAATTGGTTATAAGCACTTTAGAAATCATCAATGTTATAAGAAATAAATTTTTTTAGTTTATGGTCATTTTAATTTATTTTACTTTTTATACACGTGATGGCAAAAAAAATAATAAAATTATCAGCCCAAGCAAATATTGCGATGCAATCTACATATATTACATAACAACCAGATATTGAAGGAACTATCAACCGTAAATTAAATGAAGGGTTACAGGCTATTATGGCAAACATTGGGAAACAACAGCAACAACAACAACAGCAGCAACAGCAATGCCAGCGCTAATGCCAGCACTAATGCCAGTGCCAATGCCAAAGGTACGGCTACAATTTGATTGCATCTGCATATTTTCAATTCTATTCCTTTAGACAGTTGATACTGCACCGTAATATAAAAGAATTCGTTAAATTATATTTGAGTTTGAAACAGTCTTAACCGGTTAATTAACCGGTTAAAATTAACTTAGTCTAGTACTATAAATTCTATCGGAGTTGGACAATATTTTGCAATCATAAAAATCTTAATTCAGGCGAAAATTGAATTTCGGCTGGAGTTAATTTCACCTATTTTCCCGTATCAGTAAATACTTGAAGTTCAGCCACGCGGTTGTGTTACTTCCCAAAATAATCACCAGCGCGTCATATTTGGCAATTATATTCTCATTTAATCATTTAATACAAAATTCCGCTCTACTCCTTTAATCCACCGAAATTTTACATAATCCATTTCTGTTACAGACATAAATGATAATGTTTTTACAAACAGCGTGTAATTAATTATTCTCGCCCTTTTAACGTAAACTGATTTGTTTAGAAAATAATAAATATACCAAAGGAGATGTTGGTCACAAAATGTTTGATGTCCTCTTTATGACGTTCATCCTCTATTGTTTATATCAATGAAACAAAATATATTATGTGCAACATGTGAGTTATATCATTTGTTAAGCCTTTTTGGAAACTTTCATTTTTTTTAAATAACATGTTGTATACGGCATAATTGAATTTTCAATCGTTGTGTGCAGAAACTTGCGCAACGTTCTCGTCAGTAAGAAAAAGCATTGATTCCACATGTTTACGAAATAAAATTACTGATAAGAAGCCGGAAAATGAAAAGTTAACACTCAATCATTTTATTCATATCAACTTAGAAAATGGTACAAAACGAGATAAAAAATTTCACTTAAAAAATTGGATTCAGAGTTATACAAAAATTGCCAAGGTCCATATTTAATTGTAAAGTTTAAATTATAATGATCGTTTAATATTTTAGACTCTTTCATTTAGAAATAAATAAAATTCATTATTTCTGTAAATAGAAAATGAAACATTGGATAACCTTCTTATTTTTCATCATCCTTCGACTTATTTCGTAAAGATGTATTTACGCGGTAAACAAAAGTAAGTGGATTACGCCAATAACCTTTTATCTATATCAGTTCAATAATATAAAATGATGATTATTAATTATTTTAAAAATTCGGACTGTTTTATAAAGATAAATCTCCCACTTTTATATCGAATAATAGATAAACATAATATTATTATATGAATTTATAATGAAATTTAGTTCATTATCACTTGAAATTTAATAAGAGTGGGAATGTTCGCAACTTGATTTAATTTTTATAAAGAAGCCCATTTTAGGCAAATAAAAAAAAATAAGAAAGTCAAAATTCATATATTGATAAGGGGAAAGAAGCAATTGACTTATTGTTAACAAAAATCGGAACATACCCGGAATGAAATATTTTTTTTTTTTTTTTTTAAAAAAAAAGATATACATCCCATCCCCTACGTGAAACTTGTTCATAGAATAACTAGTTGCAGTAAACGTTTTTAAAAACATTCTAGTGATTTATAATCGTGGTCGTTTAAATTTATTTTTAAGAAAAACAAATATTTTTTATTTAATGACCCATCCATCAAAAACAAATAAATCAAGAAAAATAAATCAGGTTTCAACGGTACTATCGAAACTATAATAGTCAAAACTATAATAAATCTACAAAATCGTCGAAACTAAATTAAAAATCCCGTCAAAGTCAATTTATAATTTAATAGGAGAAAATAAATAAATATATATTTTTTTTTATAAACAAAAAAATATAGAACTGTCAGGCCACCGATGAATAAGGTGACTGCTGAATTCAACATATTGAGCATTTTCAGAAAAGCACTGTACAAGTCTTGTGATATCATTGACTTCAGAGAGGGAGTTTTCAACATGTCGTGAAGACCTTTTCATTATTCAAAAAAAGTCTTATTAATCCTTTAACAATAGAAAAATAAAGCTGATATGAAAAATTATAAGTTATAATATTTAAAATTTTTAGTAAGATTGAATATTTTGGTAAAATCATTTCATAACTTACGTATAATATTATTATGAAACGATCAATATTATCAGCAACAGTTCATAATACAAAGAAAGCGTTCGCTTTTCTCATTTTATTATTTTTCTGACTCTGACCTATTCAAATCCACAACGTTGAGTATGTTACGTTTCTATTTGCTTGTACGTAATCTTCATGGAGACGTCATGTTAAAATGGTTTTATTAACGTATTTCCAGCTTTCATGCAAAACGTCGAACCGTGATGGTGTAAAGAAAAAAAAAATACACTTTTTTTTTGGTTTCTTACCTCATGTATGAGTCAATTCACAGAATTTCTTTTATATGGTTCTTTTGATTATTAATTGTTATTTATTTCCTGGAAAAATTTTCAGGAGAATAATGAGTATAAAAATGATAACTAATCAAATTAAAGCGTATAATAATGTAAAATATTTTTCAGGAATAACAGACCAGCATAAATGATTTTATTTTTTTAGATTACAAAAATAATTTCGTGATGATCTAACAGTAATTTAAGACGATAAAAGATAAAAATAAAGAAATAAACCTTTAATCAAAAAAAAAAAGCAGTAATTTAAGACGATAAAAAGATAAAAATATAAAAGACACCAAATGGATTCTTAATTATAGCACTTTCTGCAAAGTTTCCGGAGATAGCTTATAATGTTGGTAAAGATGTACCAAAATTTTATGTTTTAAAAAGAATAGCAGAATTCTAATTCAGTTACTAAAATAATCGGTCATTTACAGCTATACTTGGTTATCTATTGTAACTAGTCCTTAACGTTGTATTGGTAATCATATTTAGAGATTTTGTATATAAGTGCTTCATTACTGATTTTGTATTTAGAAGAGGAAATTGATTTCTTCTCTTAAGGCATATCAAAGAGCCGAATGAGGTAGTAATAGTTGGTTTTTATTGTTTCATCGTCCTCGACTCCGTAAAAGTCATTTTTTTTTTGATTTTATTCATTAGAAAGTAAATACTTACTTATTTAAATACACCGAACCAACTCACTCCCTCTCCTCGTTTTGCTCGAAGATGATGTAGATGATAAAGTTAACTTCATAACTTTCATGATGATAGATTGTCATGTGATTATCATAACATTCTTAAGTATTTAGTCATATTAAGTCGTTAAATTGTTTCGCTTAGTGTTTAAATACATTAAACATTTTAAATTTGATCTCTATCAAAACAATGATACATTGTAGTTTCACATTCCAATACTGATAATGTATTAAAGGTACAAAAGTAACCTTAGGTGTGACTTTGTACTTTGACGCGTAAATACAAGATCACATAATAAAATTTAGGGACTTATAAAGCTAATTTACTATATTAAAAAACAAATTTAATTAGATGTCAGAGTAATTAAATGATGAAAAAATTAGTTCGCGTCTATATTAGAAAGATGAAAATTCAGTTACTTTGTGATAGAGTTTCTTAGAGTTAGATAGTTTTGAATTGGTATTCTTTATCTTATATTTTGTCAGTGATTAAGCTATTTTCATAATATTACAGACAAATTTACGATTCACTTTGTGTAGTTAATTAACACGATCAAAACCTACGATCAATAGTAATTCTTATGTTGATTCTAAAAGCAAACCTCATTATACTTTAGTCGTATAAGTGATTTGCAACAGCGAAAGTTTAATTATCTGGACCGGATAATTATATCAAAACTTCACAGTTACATGGTTAAGGATCTTTAGACAAGGAAAGCAATTTCTCTACTGATGATTGACAAGTAATGAAACTACAGCTATCAAATAGGTCTTGCGAGACAATCTTACAATTTTGTCAGTCTTATAGAAAAGTGTCCAAGAGCAGAGCCTCAAAAGTCCGAGAAAATACAAGTCTCGGTCATAAAATTCTATTTAGACTGATTAAGTTGTACTAAATTTTATAACTTTCAGTCCTTAACCTATTTTGTTGTGCCACAACAACTTGGGGAGAAGCTTTGTTACCCTATCAAAGATCAGCATGAGCAATTAAGATTGTCTCCATTTTTAATTTATTTTTTCCACCCAGTTCAAGAATAAAATCTTAGCAAAAAGGATGTAATAGGCGAACGCGGCGAAGAACAAGTTGGAGGTAATAATTAGCCGGAGCATGCTGCTGCACAGTATTAGGAACTTTTTCTATTTTTACTTGCCAAGGAGGGATGAAGTTTTTTAAATTTACTTCTTTATACCTTTTATATAGTTTCTAGATGTAATAAGAATCGATTTTGACTTTGCATTATATTGTAACAGATTATATTATACAAATATTTATAGTTAGAGTTATAAGTCCTTAAAACGTTCGGTCATCAATAAAAAAACTTTTATCATACATTATCGTTGATGGAAAGTCTTATATTTCTGAATGCGCTTGATAACAAATAATGAACTGCCTCGTTCAGACAGAAATTTTTTACGAGTATATTTAAGAAATGATAGTCGTACACAAAATGGTTTTCCTGATTGTTTTATTCCTATTTCTCTCGAAGATAAGATTTAAATATCACAAGGCGTTATGTATGTTAAAAACTCACGTCTACATTTGATAAATACCGTAATATTTGAAAACACATTTATATATTATTTCGTCTCCTTTAATTTAGGATTAGTTAAATTCATGCAGTATAAAATTTAGTAATAGTTTTTTTATTTATAACCTCAAATGTCGAAGAAAGTGGTATAATTTAGTTTTTGCTCAATACGTCCTTGTCTCTATTTTTTTTTTATATTTGTATAATTTAGAATATTAGATAATTAGTTTTAAGATGTTCTAGTTCACTTAATCAGACTTTAAATGTTTTAGAGGGTGTTTCTTGCAAATAGAGCAGCAGTAAATTAAAATAAAATCAGGTTATTTCACATCAAAGTATTTATTTATATTATTTATTTAAAAGTATGTCCCATTTACGTTCAAAAATAGTTACAATAAATCGATAAATGATGTGTTACACTATTTTTGTACGATTTGAGACCGTTGACAATTAATTTTTTAAACCTGTAATAGCTAGCTTTAAATATTATTTATTATTATTTTTAGTTTAGAATACTTGAAATATTATTACACGTTTTATTAATTAACGGACGATTATAGGAGTTCGTTGACTATAATGGGTGGGAAAGTATTCGTTCCGTTCGGAGGCAATTCAAAGAGACTTATGATTATTTTATAAAATTTGTATTGGAAGATAGGTCTTCACCATTTTTTACAATATTATTGTCCTGTAGCTAAAATACCTAATAACTAATTAATAATAATTGACTTCCTTCAGAAATACCATTTTTATAAGTACTTTGTAAAAGTTTTATTTGAATACTTAAACATTATTAAATGTATTTAGAAAAAAATTTAACTAAATATTGTTATTGTTACCTCTTGTGAGCCTATCGAGGATTTATCAATAAAATGAAAGTTTTCGATTCTCTATTGTTGCCACCCTAAACTTTTCTAATTATTTTATCATTTAAGTATAGTAAATTAAAGGTTTCCGAGGGAAACATTATGAGACATTGAATTTGCATATTTTAAATATAACAATTAAATTTCATCTGAACTTAATGTTAATGTATATGGTAATAATTTTACAGATCAAATAGTTTCACCAAAATCATTAACAATACCTACCTAAAGATGATATAGATAAAAGTATCAAGTAATTTTTTTTTTAATAATTTGGAGGTTGTTTTTTTATAAATGAATAAATATGAATAAATACAAAATGCCGGTTCTGGACGCAAATATAGATAATAATGACTCAGAATTGCTATTTAATGCAATAATATCATTTTAAACCATACGTCTCCAAAAATTTCAAGATAAAGTCAAAGGTCGTAAGTATACTTCAATCATGTTCAGAAAGTGAAAAGCTCATGATTATATCAAACAATAAGTTTTTTCGTAATGATTTTTTTAGGAGATGGGCATCTGATTGGGTAGTATAGTTATTCTTATTCATTGAATTCTTTGTCAAAAATTAACGATAAAGAAAATTCAGACACTCAGACACTCAAATAAGGCTTATGATGCTCATGTTACGGCATTATAAAAAGTAAATAATGAAACGAAAATCATTTGATCTCGAAATATTTATTAGCGACCAAATATTACATCCAGTATTTTTCCCATTTGAATCTGTGCTTCTCCATTTCTAGCACGTAATAAAAATAAATTTATTAGGATTAAAATAAAATTCTTAAAATGATATATAAAAGATCCAATTTTCAGCTCAAGGTTTTGACATAAAAAATAATAAATCCAATAAATATATAATGATATATATTTGATTATGACAGTTTAAATAATATTCTACTTCTTGCAAGTCATTTTTGTATTAAAGATTCTTACCTCTCATAACTTATCCTCTCTGAAGCTTTATTCTAATGAAGTAATTTGATTCTCACAAACCAATGAGCCAACCATAAGCACCTTGGCTATGAAAGAAAGTCTTATTTATTTATTTTAACTTTACAATCATTTTCAATTTAATGAGAGGAAATATTGTCCTCTTCCGCATAAATTTCGTGATGTTTGGCAAGATGATCGTTCGATTTGAGAGATTATTAGATCAAAAACATTTTGCTTTAAAGATTATATTACTGGTGTTGTCTTTGGAAAATTATTTGGCTGATTTGATAGTTTGGCAAGCCAATCCAAGTTCTTAATTCGATAAGTCTACTGATTCTGGAGGAGGAATCGATTATATTCCTTATACAAAAGAACATTTTGAGTCTCTCACTTCTGAATGTTCTGATATACTAATGTAAAATATGATGAACGTAACTCATGATGGAAAAATCAGAAATTGAATTATAGTTGCGATTTATGTTGGAAATATAACATCAATTTTTAAAAGGAAATGGCCTTATATATTTGGCTATCAAGATATATCTTATTTGATATTAAAGTTTCTTCATAATTTAAGAGGGAAGCTATTAAAATCACATTACAGATCATATTATGTTTCGTAACTCGATTTTAATAGCAAACCTTCCATATTATAATTTCGTTTAAGTATTTTAATTTAGTTTGTTCGTATTAGATTTTATTACTTCAAAAGTCACTATGATAAATGTAAATTTTATTGTTATATTTAACATATATATAACATCTCACGTGTTTAATACCTACCTGTTATTCTATACGTAGTGAAGGATAACTATAAGTTCAAAGCTCTTAAGCGCACATAAAAACAATTATTTCATGGAGTCACCTTGGAATATTATGACTTTCACAGCGCAGCCGTGAAAATCATTGATTTTGTTGTATTCAGTTCTTTCGTTTATGTATTTATAAACAATTTGTATTGTAAGCAGGAGGTATTAATTGAATTAAATGTAGTAATATTGACGTTAAATTTATTTAATATTATCAATTCAATCAGTTTTGCCTCAATGTCGACGCTCTATACTTTCGCTTTATCAAAATATTAAAACTAAGTAAATGCTATCAATTAATTAAAATTGCGCAATTACAAATTATTGCATAAAAATTGAATAATAAGCTACTAATAAAAATCAGAATTTAATAATAAACGAAATTACAAATAAGAAATTTAAAAAGTTATAACGGCGAAAGCGAACATATCGCGAAGGTTTTAAAGGAAGGATTTTGAGGTGAATGTATGCAAAGAAATATAACAAGGACGAGCGTGAAATGATGAGCTGTTTAAGGATTTCCGACTTGTATATTGTAAAAAAAAATTAGGCCAGCCTCGCATACATGACATCCTGTCATGCTGGCACCTTTGACAATCTGACGCCCTGACAGCCTGGAAAATGATCTAACTGCAAATATCAAAAGCGATTCTTATGTGGAATTATGGAGATTTTCGGGCGAAATTATATTCAATGTAACAATATCCACAGTTCCCCGTGAATTAATTATTACATATATAAGTATGTCATAACATTTATTATCGTGCTCACCAGTATGATGTAGACGATCTTGTTTTTTAATATTTTTAGTGATATCACGGAGTTTATACTATTAATAATATTAATAATACTTGTTTTATGCTTTTATTAATATCTAGTAACTTGTTTCTATTTTCAATATAATAAAATAATATGTGTAAAATAGTAAATATGGAATGCTGAGTTAACTATAAGATTTTCAAGAAATCCCATCGCTATAATTTTAGTTTAGATAAGTTTTTTGGTCATCAAAAACATTTATAATTTTTACCACGGACTTGTCATTGTTTTTCTAAGGGGGCTAATTAATATCCAAAAAAAAAAATTTCTAACGAGTATTTAGATAATTTATATCTATTTCACTTTTTGCAATATCGATTAAATAAATTTTTATCAGTTGTAATTTTGAATATCATTTGGTATTTTAGTCGTTGACAAAATGTGATCTTTTTTATTGCTGCAGTATTAATTGGTTATACTTTCATTTATATTTTCAAAGTTAATAATAATAAAAATAATCAATGATGATTACCATTAATAAATTTTCATATCTTGAAATATAGATTTTAACATATAAATGTTGCTTTTTTATTAAATAAAGCAATTCATCTTCTATAATATATTAAAAGTATAATCGTCTAAAAATGAAAATTGTTAAATTATATTATTAAACTTATCACAAAAATGTAACAAATTTACCTTTTTTTGTGATTCTTAAAGTGTTTCTTCCATTTTTTTTTTAAGAATTTAATATAAATGACAAGAAAGAGAATGATAATGTAATTTTCTTCATAATTTTAAGTCAACATCATAAAATCATACGATAATATCGTTATTGTACTTTGCGTTGATAAAAATCAAAATTATTGTCTAATATAATGATGATCGGTTAGATTTAGCCACTACGTGGCTAAATATAACTGATCATCATTTTGGACAATAATTTTGATTTTTATCAACGCAAAGCACAATAACTTATAATTAAAAATATGTATTACGTATCAGTTAGGATTGTGGCTATTGCTTCTCTGACTTAAAATTACCTAGATAATGAACTTGTGAAAAGAATGTTCTCAATATAACCTTACAGAAAAAATATGATTCTAACTTATTATCGGTTTCCCAACAATTGTAATTTTGACAGGTTCTGGAGGGGGTAATCTGCAATAATCAGAACGAGATTGACTTGGTGACGTGTTTGAGGTAATTATCTCCAAAACATTGGAAACAGAATCCTTCAAAATTGCAAAGAGAGTGAGTCACATCTGCATTGAGATAATAAACAGATTTTTTTGAAATCTCGCCAATAATTACTTACTTTGATGGTGTAAAGTGCTTCCAATAGCGACACCAGAATTATGAATTGGGATTTCTGAGTGGGTATAGCTACGTCTGCAACCAAATACATCCTGTATAACCCATCGTATTCTAAATCCATTTTATAAATGTGGATTTGTGCTCCTATAAAAGCAACCGAGTGTTAGCAAATGTATAAGAATTTTAAAATTCAAACCAAACATGAGCACTTACCACAAATCCACACCCCAAAGGATGCCATCCCGATCCTATTTCCATATTTTTTGATTAGTTCGTCCAAGGTACCAGATTGAAAATTCGCTAGTTTGATAAGATCCTGACAGACTAATAAAGATGAGTTTTTACATTTTGGTGGTTTGACCTCACCAAAGAGAATCTCATCATTCGTATTTGTCAAGAGTTTAAAGTCAGGCTTCTTACCTCGCGAATTTTCTTTATTAATACAACGTCGGCTTTTTGAGGAAGTGCTCTCGCTATTCGCCCTTTATTTCAGCTAGGCATTAAATTTTATGATTCAACTACACAGCAAGATCAGGCAAACCCTTACCAGAGCAACTCGAAATTTGGATCGCGAAAGATTTCCTTCAGTAAATCGTGCAACATGTCATGAACGAATGTATCTTCGTTGTCATTATTTGTTTTGAAGTTCTGAAGTAAACTGTAAAAGAAAGATATTCATTCAATTCAGTATTACATTGATTATTATTGTTTAATACCTACTAGTTACGTAAGATAACTTGACATCCACAAAATATTTCTATTTCATCATGATTGCTCAACTCGTTAACTTTCGAAAAATTTACACACCAAATTTTCAGAATATCTTCCAGTGGTAATGCATTCAATAGCTAGAATTTGGAAAGGAAAGCTTGGGATTAACTTACAAAGCAATATTGTAACCAAATCTGAAAATAGATATACTTTTGAATATTCGAGAATCATGTTTTGGATCACCGCTGGCAGACTTAGAGGAACTTGTCTTCGACATATTTGATTCCAAATTGTTTTCGTACAGGTGATGTACAATGGCTTTGTCTGTTCTATAAGCATGATGTTTGACAGGCAACTATTTTATCATAAGATTAATGAACATAGTCGTAATTTAGGTAGCATATAATACTTACAGAATCTTATGAAAATCAGTTTTAAAGGATAGAAAAGGATTCTTTTCAATTTCTCGAATTGTTGACAGTTGAAAATTACGAAAATCCGCAGAGATATTATGTTTATCAAGGATCCACTGAAAAAGTGCGTAAGTATAGTTAATTATTATACCGGCAAAATATTAACCTCATTAATGCTGTACTCACATCCTTTTGAGAGTCATTTCTTATATCGGTCCTGTTAATGACATTTTCCCAAGAATAAAGAACTCGGGGTCGTTTCTAAACAGATTATGATTAGTACATCAATTCGTTTTATTTTTTGGCATCCAAAAATGACAATACCTTAGGCAATAAATTACGTGCATCGAATTGCTCAGACTCGTCTATTACATACAAGGTTAGCAGTACATATTAAATCCGTGGTTAAAAAAAAAAACATGAAAAATACAAACCTAATGTATTACCATCTGATTCGGCCGAAATTGACAATGATCTATTATTAACAGGCTCCGTTAGACGAGGTTTTTTCGGATTTACTTGATCGTTAGGAAGGAGTTCATCGATGCGATTTCGAATCGCCTTTCCTGTTTTCTTGGTTAGTGCTTTATCAATATAGTTCTGGTAAAATGTGAAAGAATCTTAGGGCATGCAAAGCTCGGACACGATACAACACAGATATTCTTTGGCAAACCTTTTCCTTGTCAAGAACAGAAGCAGGCGTTGACTTAAAATAATCTTCAATAGCTTGCTTATATCCATCATCTTTGTAGTTTTTGTAGATATTAACCAGCTTGGGATCGCCACTATAAACTTTAAGGATCGCGCTAATACCATCTCGAAACAGCTGTTTTCTTCGACGTGCAATTGAACCTTTTGAAAAACCCTACTGGCGTTGGATTTGCGTCATTAATAAAAAAATCACGTTCTTGTGAGGAAATCTGGGCCATCATTGAGTCTATTAAGTCTGAAGTTGGGTAAAAGTGAACGCGTTCTACGCGTTCTATATAAGAGCACCCTCGGTAACGTGACTCGTGACTTTGCCCACGTGACAATTAGGCGTGACAATATGATTTTTTTGGTTAACTCAATGGGGCACAAATTTAAGGAAATGGTTTCTTCTTTTATTCAACGTGTCGACGACTCCTATGAGATGTGTTCTGGCGCAGATTGGCAAAAACTGCGGTTATTCTTCATCAGAAGGTCCATTTGTAACCAGATCCTCTCATAGAAGACAATATAACTACTGAGCGTTCAGAGGAACTGCGGTTATCCCTCAGCTCTCGGAGTTGTGGCTCACGCTTGGTTGTCAAGAATTATATTGTGAGCGCATTCCATTATTTAATGGCAGGTTCTCTTTAGTTTCTCGTAAGCATTTGATTAAGCAAATCATAATTTGCAGACCACTTGTTAATTGTATTTTGTTTCGTTCTTTTCAAGAAAGATTACTTTACCCTATATGGCAGGACATGGGCAGGGTTGGTCAAAAACTGCTGTTATTCTCAAAGAGGGCACCTGTTATGACTTGTTATATAGAAGGTGGTGCACTGACCGATCATTCTGAAGAACTGCGGTTACCCTTCAGCTTTTTTGAGAGTTGTTGGTTCATGATCAGTCGACAAGAGTGTGTATCACGCGCTCATTTGCTCTTATTTGGCGTGAATGCATTGTGTGCTCACAGGGAGAAATTGTATTTATTGATTGCATGCTTAGTTCTTAGCAAAGCGGAAAAATTGATATAGTAGCAGTTATATATATGACATGCTTTCAAGAGAGGGAGACTAAGTCATTTAATGTGAGTCCCAGCGTCAAAGTTATTTCCTTGCTTTCTTACTATATTTACAAAATTTGATTTATAGGACAGGATACCATATTCTGTTTTTCCTGAAGGTATGTAACTTTTTTATTACTTCAATGCACATCACACATCCAAATTCATGCATACATATGTTTAAAAAACGTGTGGAGGTAAACGAATTTTTTATTATACCAGAATACGAACACGTGTTAAGGTGTGGCAAGAACAGTATCACGTGAGCGTGCGCAGTAAAACGTTATTCCTCAAAATGACAACCCGAAGATATTACTCCATAACATTTCTGTCTAGGAAGTTCCGAAAAAGGGGACCATTATGTTAATCCTCCTTGCCAATCAGATGATTAGCATACACATTCCCAAATCCCATATGCGAAATAATGATTGCTGGAAAAAATACCTATATTCGAATATTGTTTTGCTAGTATGATACTAGTGTAAATTGGGGAATTCGAATCAGAAAAAAAAAATGTGAATATATATATGCTAATCGCACGTCACACAGCCCTATTCTTCGGCAAGATATCGTACTGCACCTTTTGGTGATCGATTTCACATGACAGGTCTAAGCCACAATCGCGAACTTGAGTTTATTGCTTGAAGTGTTGCAGGTAAGACAATATTCTAACTTATCTTGGGAATACAACTTCGCTAATTCAGGATCATCCATAATTCCCATGTTTTCCATTGCAAATAGGGCATGGTGAAATCACGGCTGTGGTGATGCAAAATCATAATTATCAATCCCTCTAAAACTATTTCCGAAGGGAAATGCTCTAAAATGAATTTGATAATTAATTCTGGATCGGGTTTGGCTTCGAAAATGATAGGCCCTTTTTCTTCACATTGCTCAGAAAAAGATAAATAGGATACTTTGTTTTCTGGCTTCGAATTTATGAGAAGGTGATCCTCTGATAATTTCCATGGCTCATGCCCAGTTTCTTTTTTATATTTTTTGTATAAGCTGGACCGAATCTTATCCGTCAAAATGCTTGGTAACCCAGTTAATTTGGCATGCCAATCCAGGTATTCGGGAGTTAATATTTTATTGGATTAGCTTATGTTTCCTTTTTTCTATGATCACAGATCAATTTAAACCCCTTTTTCTCTTTAGTTCGAAAAAAGATTAAGTAATATCTTAACATTTTAATAAAATTATATATACAAAATTTTTTTATGTAAATATGAGATCTTATTTTTTGAAAAGTACTTTAAACTATATAAATAATATAATTATTAGTAAAATATAATAGCTAATCATGTAATTTTTCTTATATTCTTCAACTTTATTTTATATTCAATAATATTCTTATTAATCATAATAAAATATTTAAATTTATATTTAATAATTTTATTTAATATTTTAAATAATAATATGATTATATTATAGTAATTAAATGAGATATTCAAGTAGTAAATCTTTAAATTTAAATTTGATAGTAATTTAATTATAAAAATAATAGCAAATTTATTATTTAATTATAAATTTAATGATTTACAAAAATTATTAAAATTCAATTAATTAAAAATAAAATAAAAAAAAAACCAAAAAAAAATAACAAATAGGAGTAAATCAAGTATTTTATAAATCAACTATGAAGTTAATATAGTTTTTAATAAATTTTTTTTACTATTTTATAATTTTTTATAAATTACAATTATCAATTTATAATTTAATAAGTTTGTAAATAAAAAGGTTATTAAAATTGTTGGATTACATTAATCTAATTAATTTATTCATAAATAAAATTTTTTTTATAATTTTATCTAATTAAACTTATGATTTAAATTAAATCTATAATTATTAATCTCTTCTATAAAAATTTAAACTAATAATTATATTATAAGAAAATTATATATAAATATTACTAGTAGAATCAAAATCATAAAATATAATAAATCATATAATTTATAATATAATTATATTGATAATGCTTTTATAATTTTTATTATAATATTTAAAAACATTTAATTTAATATTTAATAAAATTTTTTAATTTATATATATGATATAAATATAAAGATATTTTATAATTTATTATGATTTGACAAAAGGGGAAATAAAAAAATTTGTTATTAGCATAAAAGTTTTAATAAATATATTAACGTGTCACGTAGTTTAATTCCTTAACTCCGGCCGATTGATGAACACTGCGTGGATAGTTAGAATTTTTTTTAAAATAATTCATCAAAAATTCGATATATAATTCGCGCAATGATGAATTTCCAAGCTGCTTCTACAAAAAGTGATCAAATTATTCTCGGAAATGAAATTATTTCACGATCTGCTCTCGAACAAGATGTTAAAACTTTAATGGTGTCTTATCAAAAAAAGCAAGCTTATGATTTTACTTCATTTGCTGATGTTTGGAAAGAACGAACCTTTTCTTTAATTCACTTCGCTTGTCCAGAAAAACTTGGCAGACCAGTTTTCATGCAAACATTATATCAAATTATTTTATCTTATACTGTGAACACTCGCTTGCTTGAGGTGAAATTAGGTGTATTATACGGGTTATATCTTTTGTACTTTACTCAGCCAGAAGTTTTCCCTAAGGAGAGAATTCGCTTTACACTTACATTATGGAAGCAGATTTTTGAACTTTACAAATACAGCAAGCAATATGATCTTCATGATGCAGTATACATATATGAAAAAATGAGAAAGGAACGCGTTTTAGAGTTCGTTGCCAATATTGATCCTTGTGGGACGATATTAAAGCAAGGAACAAAAAGAAAAGCGACAAATAATCTCGAAAATATAATGCACGAAATAAGCATCTCTCCTGTAGGAGGTTTGAAAACCACAAATATTTTGAAAGATGGAGATGATATAGTCCAACGATACTATTCAAGCAAGCGCAAATTAATAGATAGTGAATTAACCAAAGTCGCTTCTAATAAAGTAATTCGACGTCGGATAGATACTCATCCCATTGGTCAACCACTTGATCCCTTTACATTATTAGAACCATTTAGTGCAACGGATGAACATTTTAATGATAACCTTAAATTAAAATTAGACAATATGAAATCGGAGCGACTTGAGTATTTGACAAGAGCTAAAACTTTTATAGAAGAAAATTCAAAAAATGTTGAACATCAGCGAACTGCTCATGATGTACGAAATGAACTACGTTTACAATCATATCAAAAGTCAAATCGTCAATTTGTTCCATTTTCATTGAGAGCAACATTGAACGCAGCAGAAAGAGATGAAAAAAGAACCAGATCTTTTAATATGAAAGCTCCCCCGCCGCCTGCAAAGCTTTCATCATCTCTTAAAAAATAAACCGGCTGAGAAAAGATAATTGATCTTTTTTTAACTTGTTCGTAGCATGACTTGGAAAACCATAACCTTGGTGAGGAGCGAATTTTATTGTCATTTACTTTGTACGTAAAAAAACGTGATTTTCTTTATTCTAATTTGTATCAATTCTGCTTAATTGTCACAAAGATATATGTATAAATATGTTTATATATATCGATGATAATTAAAAACATTTATTTTTTTTGTTGAGGTAAGATTTTGGATAATTGAAATAATCTATTTTTATTAATTATGGAATATTTAATTTCTCACAAACAAATTATATATACACTTCAAATTAGGAGAATTAGATAGATTAAAGAAATTCGCTAAGACGCGATTTATAATAGAATGATGGAATTGACTTTTGTGGTTATATGAGCTACGGTGCTGGCTCTACTAAACAAAGACGTAAATAATTATATTTTGTATAAATGTCACTTTTTCCTGTTCTTTTTGATTACACGTGCAATGAATGATTAAAAAAATCTGCGGGAAAAGGAAAAAAAAAAGATATTTTTCCGGTTGTGAACCTTACTCTAGTATTTGTTGCTAATTCAATTTAGATCAAGTGGAAAAAATCATTTATAATTTTCAATTGATGAATTATCCTTCTAACCGTATAAGTTTATTGGTAACACAAATGGTGAGTAATTATACAGGGGGTGACTATATAGGAATCGACTGTATTAACTTCATCTTTTCAATTTATTATGACAATCTTTCATTGTTTGTAATTAAGTTTTCTTATTTATAATCATTTTATTTTTCTTAAAAAACAAAATTTTAAAAATAAATTTTTTTATTTTCGAGAATGTTTGCTTTTAGTTATTTAGAATAATCTGTTAGGATCAGGGGCGATGATTTCTGTATTCACAGTATTTTACAGGAAATCACAGAATATGGTTATAAAAATGAAGATAATTTTCAAAATATTGGCCTGATTTAAATTTGCAATCATTGTAATGCTGGCTGACATTAAGTTTGGCCAGAATTTTCGAATCTTAATGTTGGCTGATCTTGCATAATTCTGGCCAAATCACAGAATTTCATAGAATTAACTTTTATCACACGCATAATTCATCCTTAATCGCAGAAAATCATCGTCCCTGGTTAGGATTATTTCAATTAATCGATTTATTTAAGAATTTTTTTTATTAGTATAATTGATCTGCAAATATTAGTCAATCAAAATAAAAGCCCGTTATTGCTATAGTCAGCATTCACAAATTTTATTGGATAATTTACACATCTTGACTTATCACATGTGGGAAAAATTAGTTAATTGATTTTTTTCCTTTCCTATGGTAAAAGTATTTATAGTCAAACCTCTCTAATGCACTTTCTCTAAATGTACATACTATATAAACACAGCTCAAGACATTACAAATCACTTTGTCTAACTCTATATCATTCATTAATTGACACAAAATCTAGAAACTGTAAAATGAGACAAATTGTACAATACTAATACGCAAGAAATTTTCTTTCTAAATACACGTCTACCTTAATTTTTCTACTATCAGACTTTCAGGTAAAAAAATAACTGACTACTAGACTGAAAAAGTAAATAAAGGATTATTTATTTACTAAATAAGAAAAACTCTTAATGATGAGCTTTAAAAGGCGTTGAAAAAATATTGAAAAACCAGCTATTGTTAATCAATCTCCAAGTTTTTAATGCTTAACAACAATGACCAAAGGAAAGGAGTTTATCTTAAATACGAGAAAGAGGCTCTAACTTTTTTTACTTATTATGCTTTAAAGAAAATCCTTAAAGTTGTCCAAGTGCTTAAATAAAGGAACAAGAAAGAAGATAAGAACGATAGATTGACATAGAATTTTGCACTACTTTTTTTGTTCTGTTTCTAAGCATTCTGTTTCTAATAAGCTGTGCAGTGGCTGATATAAGTGCATGTTTCCAGGTTATCTTATTTTGCCAGCTCTTGTGTTATCTCGTTGCATTCATTACGTTCGTTGTGTCTCATTTCTAGCGACCTATCACAATTGGCTGCGGGCGCTTGGTAAATATAATAGGTTACCAAAACAAGTTTCTTTGAAAGATTTATTGACTTCAAAGAGAATTCAATTATGTGCTTTCCTTTATATACAACAAAAAAGCTGAGTGATAGCATCCTCTGCATCTGGTCATCATAATTTTAATTTTATCTGATTGTGCTTAATGAAATATTTTTCATCTGATCTTTACTTTCTGTATAGTATGTTACTAAAGAGATAAGTAAAGTTTTAAATGACAGATCAGAGTTGAAGAACAAATATGCAATTGAAAAGAGATTGGAAAATATGTAGATATTGGAAGTTGTTCAGAATAAAGAACTCACCAGAAAAGTGAAATATAGCAACCATAAAAACAGATAGTTCTTTTACCTTACAGAGTTAGTTTATTAGGGCAGTTAATACTACAGTATTCATTTAATTATAAATAAACTTATTTTTCAGACTTATTACCTTAAAAAAAACATTATCTTATATCACATCTCATATTACTACTTTTCTCACAGTACTTTCTCGAAAAGTACTACAAAAGTAGAGGTAATCCACTGAAAAAGGTTCTTTTATGAAAAGATTTCTTTAATATGATAAATAAACATCATTTTGATGATAAACAACTAAGGTTTGAAGAACTACTCAAAAGATCATTAAGGATATCAATAACTCCTTCGTGCAAGACGACGTGTTTAAGAAGCTGAGTCAATTTAGTTAGATCTGCAATCATCTACTTTACTGATCAGGAGTCTATACAAATGGTGATAATTTATTGGAAAGTTTAAGGTAACTTATGAAGAAATATTTCATTGAGCTATAATGTAAATACTTTTATAGTATTGAACAAACTTATACCAAATTATGAACACTCAATAATAAAAGTTCTTGGTGATTATTTTCCAGATTACACATGCCACTGCCACTATCTAGAAAATTCAGATCTTAATGAAGAAGTAGAAAGAGTATACATCCTATTTGATATAAAGTCTGGGCAATCACTATTAGATTTTTATGAAACAAATTCAACGACAAAAGATGTGGTCTAACTAATATATTATTATAGGTTTGAGAACCAGTTGCAATATGACATTCTATTAACATATGATGAACACTGGTTCGTTATAAGAGACCACTGATCTTTACATCATAGAACTTTTTCTATTAGGGTTAAAATCACTAACAGTACATTCTCTATTCAAAAGTATTAGACCACTTAAAAATTTTTAAAAAAAATCGATTTTTTTTTCTATTTGAGCCTAATAAAAATTGTAAATAAATAATATAATATTTTTATCAAATAATAAACATTATTTAATATTTATATATGTATTTTAACTGAAAATAATTTAATTTAATATATTGTATTTTTAAGTATTATTTTTAATTAAATTAAATAAAATTTAAAATTATTTTTTTAAAAAAATTATATAAACGTAAAAATTTAAAATTATATTTATTTAAAATATAAGTTATATATAGCATTTCGAAAAAAAAAAATTTTCAAAACATAATCTAATTCATAAACTAAAATATAGGAGAAATTTTTCATTCAAAATATGAAAAAACTTATAAAAAAATTAAAAAAATATTTAATTTTTTTAAGTTTACCTATATAAATTTTTATTTAAACTATCTTTTAATATTTGGTTAAAAAGTCACGTGACTTTAGAATAGCTCTTACCCAATCTTCCATACTACTAACCAGTTTTTGATAAACATTACTAGAGATTTGCAACCATGATTTCTGTAAAAATGCTTCTAATTCAACCATGTTTTGAGGATTTTTTTTCTTGATTGAACATTACATTCAAGTTCATCCCAAATGTGTTCAATAGGATTAAGATCAAACTTTGCTTTGACCATAGTAAAAGAGTGTTAGCATTGTCTTCGATAAAAATTTGTGTTTATCTACTTGTGTGGATCGGTGCATTGTCTTGTTGAAAAAAATACTCCTTATATTTCTCCTCAAATTCCTCCAAAAATGGTATCAAATAATAATTAAGTATTTCTTGTATGTATCTTTCACTGTTAACTCAGCCATCGATTCTTACTAAGGGACCCATTTCATATCATGAGAAACAACCCCACATCATAATACCTTCTCCACCATGCTTTACAGTTGGAACTAAGCAATTAATATTGTACGTTTCCTTTGGAAGATGCTAAATATAAATCTTTTTATCATTTCTAAATAGTGTAAATCTAGATTCATCATTTCAGATAACTTTTTTTCAGTCATTGATTGTTCACAAATATCTTTCTCAAGACTACTTTAATTGAAAACGTCTATTTGACTTACTGATATAAGGCTTTTAAAGAGCAATTTGGCTATGATACCCCATTTCATAAAGTTCATGTCGTATGGCAGTGATGTGCATTTTTGATATCCCAGAGATTTGTTATTCCAGCTATATGTCCCACCCTATCCCACGCTATGTTCAGAATATCCTATCTGTCTCATCTATATCCCATCAGTATTCCATCAATGTCTCATGGCAACACTGTCGTATGATATTCTTATTCACTACATTTTCAGTTAAATTTACAAAAATTTCTTGTAGTTTTTGTGCTGGTTCACGCCTTTCTTTATTAACAATAACTTTTAAATACCGTTTATCATGTTCTATCAATTTTCTAGGTCGCACACTTTTTGGAACATTAATAAGAAGACTTGTTTTATTGTATTTTTTAATAATATAATGGATAGCTGACTTTGAATAGCCCGTTTTTTCAACTATAACTCTCTCAGATTTATCAGCTTTATGAAGACTGATAATTATTTCACATTCAATAATTGTAAGCTCTTTCTTTTTGGTCATGTTAAAGAATGTGAAAAGAAAAAAAACGCAAAAATAAAGAAAAAAAAAATTGTGATAATCATTTTTGATAAAAAAACTAATATAAATATTTTTTGTTACACTAAATCATATGTAATCACAATAAATTTGCAGATCACAGGGGTAGTCTAATACTTT